CCTGACCCAAACAAAAAAAAACAGTTTTTTAAAAAAAGAATCTCAACATTCCTACTGTATCAGGCAACATACTTAAAGTAATTTTTAATTATATTATTGGTAAAAAATTAATACCTCATGACTAACCCTGATGTAAATATTTGCAATTCCCCGCCCAGATTTTCCACCTACCTCATTTCCTTTACTAGCCGACAATGTGACGCATCATTTTTACCCTTTTCCTACCTAAAAATCCTACATAACAAAAATGACGTATGTGATGTAGAAAGTTAGAGACAAAACTCTAATGTTTATGGGTCTAAATGTGAAACACACAAATTTAATTATACAATCCTTTTTGGCTATTGAGATAATTAAAAAATTTGGATGGGGAGGGAGGACAAACATGACATTTATTATGTCGCGTGACACGATGAATGGCGGACATTAACTACGTAAGAAAAAAAAGAGCCAAAATTAGGCAATTCCCATGAAAATAAAACATTAGGGTGAGGTCCTTTTAAGTTTGTTAAAGGGCAAAGCTTTTTATCATTGACAATCGCTTAGTTTGGCCGTAGGGGAATCTATAAAGCCAAAACACTACCCACTCATAAAAGTCTAAAAAGTGACATTGCACCGCTTACGCTTAACCAAACACGTTTTTCCACTTTTTGAAAAACCACAAATATTTACATTTTGCTCCTCAAACCCACCGGGTTTGTCCCGGTTTCGTTTTTTTTTTGTTAATACTTTCATTTGTAAATTACAAACCAAAAATAGAAGGAAAAAATATCCTAAATATGCCATCGCAACTTAATCCTTGAAGATGACGTCATTGGCCATACTCATCAACGGTCCAATCGCATCCGGCGGGAACTTCCTCGCGAACAGAAACGGGTCCCGCCTTTCCGTCACGGACCAGTCAGAGCCGTTGCCGCTCTCCTTCTCGTCACCGTACTTCGGCCTATCATTTCTCAGGGAGGTGATCAAATCGGGCCCCACCTCGGAGGCCTCATACGTGCGGGGGTGGCCATCGAATCTCCCGCGCCAGTCCACGTGCGTGAGGGTAGCGGGCACGCACCCGCCTGGATCTCTCATGTTCAGGAGGGTAGGAAAGTAATTTTCCTCTGGGTAACACGTGTCCCAACGCTGGCACGGTAGCTTGAACTTGGACCAGAGCCGGTGGTCACCCACAACCGCCCTCGCGTGCTTCCGCTTCAGGATCCAGAACTGGGACCCGATCCGAAACTCCTCCAGCTTCACCTGCGGCAGCATCGCGTCCTCCCCACGCGCCGCCCACCTGTCGTACGCTCCAATCTCGTTGTCCAGAATCTCGATGAAGCTCTTCTTCGATCGGGCGAGGGTTTGGTACGTGAAGTTGAAGGACCGGATGGGGATGCAAGAAGGAGAGAGAAGCGCGAACATGGCGTTCTTGGGATCGTCGAGGAGCGCGTGGGCGAGCAAACGACGAGTCGCGGAGATGAGAGTGGAGGTGAATCGCTGGGCGGGTCGGGAGGGGATTACCCGGTGGGCGAAGACGCCAGAAAACGGCGGGTCGTAGGGGAATCTCGGGTCGGCGTGGACGTAGATAGAGAAATGGGTTTTGGGGGTTTGGTTGAAGAAGCGTTCCCAGAGAGGGGAGAAGGGGAGAGGGGTGGTGGTGAGGAAGAGGAAGGCGATTTTGGGGCGATCGGAGCGGGGCGGGCGGGAGTTGACACGCGCGGCGAGGCGGAAGAGCGAGTCGTCATCTAATGGGAGGGATTTTGGCGGTGAAATTAGGTTGATTTTTTGGTAGGTTTTGGTGGGTTTTGGGGATTGGGAGATTTGGGTGGGGATGGTGGTGGCGGTTGGGCTTCTGATGGTGAAGATTATGGTGAGAGGCAAACAGAGAAGAACGGCGCAGATGAGAGAAAATGGCGTTGGGGAGAGCATGGTTTTGTGGTTGAGAGAGAGAGAGAGAGAGAGACGGTGACTGGGATTTTTAGTGGAAAATGGAGAGTGAGATTTGGTGGAAGAAGATGAAGAGCATGGTGATTGACGGCGGGGATAAGATTGATGCCAACCTAAAAGCGCTTTTTATTTTTTAATCAGTTTTTAACTTATTTTAAAAATAATTTGTTATCTTTTGTTTGGAGGATATATAGGGGATTTAATGATAAATAACCTGGTTTATGTGTGAATAATTCAGTTTGTAAACTAAAAGTTTGTACTCAAGTTGTTCTATTCTCCCTCCCTATTTTCGCGTGCTAAAAAAAACTGCAAACGCGGGTTAGGAAAGTTGGTAGGGAAGTGATAGCGTCTTCTTTTTTAATTTTTCTAGAATGACTGTGTCTTCTTGCACCTAAGAACTACCGGAACTACTCCAATGGCTTAGGTGGGCTGTAGCACAGTGAAGTTTTTTTGGTTTGTATCTTTTGTTTGGAGGATATATAGGGGATTTAATGATAAATAACCTGGTTTATGTGTGAATAATTCAGTTTGTAAACTAAAAGTTTGTACTCAAGTTGTTCTATTCTCCCTCCCTATTTTCGCGTGCTAAAAAAAACTGCAAACGCAGGTTAGGAAAGTTGGTAGGGAAGTGATAGCGTCTTCTTTTTTATGAGTGTGTCTTCTTGCACCTAAAGAACTACCGGAACTACTCCAATGGCTTAGGTGGGCTGTAGCACAGTGAAGTTTTTTTGGGGGAAAAAAAAATCAAGCCTATATAAATGAGATATTTTAAAATATAGCCCACTATTTATTAATCTATTAAAATTCAAAAAAGTTCAATTCTTTATCAATTTAGTTCTAGGACAACAATAAAAATACACATTGTAGTAACAAAAATTTCATTTCTCTCATGGATTGCATAATACAACTTAAATAGGTACACTTTTTATTATGTTGTTGAAGTATTTTTTGGTCTCATTTAATATGTATTTGTTTTATGTTAAACTTTATTGAAAATTAGTTAATAAAGCTATAAACTAATGTGATTTATATGATTTAATGTATACTTTTATTTATATAAAAAAAACTATAGAAACGGTAAGTACAAAAAAAATAATAATAATTATTAGATTTTAAGCTAACAACTTTAATTAACCCACCTATTAAAAAATTCATAATTTCGTTCTTGCACCTGAGTTCGAATCTTCGCCTCATGGTTTGGGTGGGATTCTTTTCTTTACTGTCAATGCTCGGTTGTATTTATTAATTTTGATGACATATGGGGTATATTGTCTTTGCGCTGTTGTGTAGGTGGGTCCTACTTATGCTCAAGTTCGGACTGACAC